GACCCTCCGGGCTCGCTGACTTTCCGAGTCACTCGTGGGCTTGGAGTTCATTCCTGCATCTTTTCCAGCTGGGTGTGCAGAACTCATCTTGAGCGCAGAACAGGTCTCAGGGGGTTCTGTAGCCAGTTGGTTGTGCACCTCAGTGAGTGTGCTCAGTCCAGGGGAGGGGTGACCCCGGGGAGGCTGCTTAGTTCTCAAAGGGGAGAAACGATCTCATGGGAGGGCAGGGATTGTGGGACTGCTGAGCTGGGATAGGCTCACTGATGGGGCCAGACAAGCTGAGCTGAAAGCATTTCCTGCATTGCAGCATGTGAGTTTAAAATAACAGGATCCTCTGAATAGATACACAAAACCCGCTAAACAAAGGCCAGCACCCTTTTGTGATAAAAGTGTCCAGCAAACTAAGATTAGCAGGGAGCTTTTTTCACCTGCTCCAGGGCACCTCTCGAAACCCGCGAGTAACATCAGACTTCATGGGGATGGACTGGCGCCTCCCCCCTACGTTCAGGAACACAGCAAGGACGCTAGCTCTCTCCCTTTCTACTCAACTTTGTATTAGATGTTCCAGCCCACGCAGTAACCCAAGGGAAGCAGAGGATTGGAAGGAAGAAGTAACATCATCCCTATGCATAGACCATATGATTCAATGCAAAGACAACCCCAAGGAATTGCTAACAAATGGATTTAAAAAATTAAAACCAATAAGTAAATTCAGTAAGATTGTAAGATTCAAAGTCCATGTGAAAAAAAATCAATTCTGGTTTGTTTGTTTAACAGAAAGAGTGAGTTTATAGTTTATTAAAGGGGATATTTGGAAAAGAAGTCCAAAGAGCCCTTAGCTAGTCTAAAAGGCCCACTCAGTGATATCCTTATATGATCTGAGCATAAAATTAAGAAAACAATTCCATTCAAAAATAATTTAGAAATAAGAATAAGCGCAGTTGTCCTGGCTCCTGGCGGTGGGCCCCCGGGGGCAGTGGACTCTGTCACTGTCATTGGCAGTAGGGTAGGTGGCACCCTGCATGGAAAGGGACACCTGAAAGACTTCCACTTCTAATATCCCGTGGCCTTGTAATTAAAAGTAACTCAGGCAACATGGTAAACGTGCACCACGATGACAAGGCATGTGAATTTGCACACACCCAACACCCAGACCCAGTGATGGTCAAGTTGTTACTACACTTACTGTGTAATTGTTCTTCAAGGAGCTACACACACGATGGTTCTTTCCAAAACCCATTCTAGTGTCCAGCCAGAGGGCAATTCTTTCCAACCTTCTTCACTGGATAAGTCTATGTTTTTAAGACTTTTAAGAGGTGACCAGTGCCCAATCTTCGGAGTTATTGGAGAACAATTGAATCTGAATAATGCTTCCTAACTCTAGGGTGTTGCTTGATGTGGACCCCTGGGCACATCATTAGCTCTACAAACCCTTTTGGACATGGTTAAACTGCCCGCCAGC